CTGCACGCTAAATAATTTACCCAAAATCGAACTGTAAGTCCTTCAGCTAAATTCAAGTGCTCTATCTGTACAGAGATTCAAATCTATGTAGCCAAGATATCAGTAATTCGGTAAGTCCCAAATTCTAGTTGTTTATAAAGTTACAAATTCCAAGTAATTGCTATTCCTCGATTACATTCATGTGCATATATTTCTAATCCTCTATGACTTTAGATGAAATTGGCCATATCAGACCCTTCACAAAGGATACATTGTACTATCAAGTTCTATGCCACTAACCTGAATCTAAATGAATCTAAAAGACTCATAAAGGACTAATCTCCCAACTCCACTCATGATATCAATCCTAAGGATCTTGATTAAGAATGAGACGAAACAATATTTCTTTATTATCATATGTATAGATAAATCTCAAATCTAATATCTGAACTTTTTAAGATATTCATTATCAGGTAAGGCTCAGGCTAAATAATAACCAAAGATAAATTGATCGAAGTCTTGACAGAAGCTGTCTCCTCACAATTTAGTTCATTCATTGTAATCACAAATAGCCCTTTCCCTACCTTACATAGGCTATTGTTTTCTCAAGCTGCAATATGAGAAGTACTGTCTGAAGTAGAGTTCATAGCCAAAGTAGCTGCTTCTAATGAAAGAAGTTATAAAAATATTGCCCAACATCAAAAAACCAATCTCATGTCCATACTAGGTCAACTTTTTTTGCACCTCAATAAAATCCCAACTAGTGTTTCTCAAAAGATAATCAACAATCACTTTTGTCATATTTTCTCAAACGTGAAATTTCCTTAAAACAATATATTATCCAGGCCCTTGCACTGGTACTTAGAATTTGGTCAACAATGATTATAGTATACAATCAGCAGACACAGTAAGGGTGCACTTGCCATGTTGCATCATAGCCCGAACCCAATATTAAGCAACAGGAGAGGGGGCATCCCTTCACTGCTCCCTCAACAAGATCAGTTCACTCTTTGATCCTCTGTCAGAGAAAAAAAAACACTTCCGCATCTTAATTCTAACTCCACCTTGTTTGATTTTAATAGCTTTCACCTTCAGTGCCTATGAATTCCCCATCATTTATCCTGGACATAGGGCAGAATTCAGGTGATATGCCCATTTGCGGTTTTGTGTAAGGATAATCCTAGCAATCATATAAAAAAGTATAAGTCAACAGATCATGCATGCTGAAAACATATACAAGGTTTTCAAACGGTAGAAAGAGACTTGCTGAGCTCAAATTGAACCTTAATGAAACATATCGCTTTCTCCATCCTTGCTCGCCTTCATTCTTAAGAAGCCCTAAAACATCTATTAATCATCACAAACTAGTAGTTACTTTAAACCTTCAAATAAGGCCCAATACTTGCTCCACCTTCTCTGGTGAAACCAACACCAAAAGGACGAGAAAGCATTGCTGTCTAGTTGACCTACAATTAATATCATAAGAACTTGCTTAACAAAACATTAGAATTTCCACTGATTCCGTGACATCTTAATCGATCAGGAACAGTCTCGACGAGTGATCTCAGAACATATAATGCACATCATCGATGAGGTACGGGAAACTCCAATCTTTTCACAGCCAAAAAGCAAATCAAACGATTAGAATCAAAAGTTGCGACCTTTGTAACAACACGAGATCAACGAATTAGGAAGAAAATGAAAATGCTTCACAGAATCAAGGAACCAGACGAAAGCGAAAATCCCAATAGAAGAATAGAAAATCTGCGATCTTCACAGTGACAAAGGTTTGAGAACGATTCCAGGGAACAAGAAACGAGGAGCAAGGTGGAACATCACAGGGGCAGGTAAGATTGGGGAAAGGATGGGCTTTTCATCAGATTTTCTTACAGAATCGTGGTATCGGCAGGAGCCTTCAGCGTTGTCTTCATCGGTGAACATGGCGTCGCATCCGATCCTTTGGCATCGAACAGCACCGCCGCTGGCCGCCATCCCTTTCTTCAATCGAGCCGCTTCGACCTCTAAAGTAGCAGGAGGCTCGATAAAAGGTGTAGAATGAGACTTGTATCAGTAGACTATACGTATACGTAGACGTATGCGGTTCTCCGTATACCGTGTTGTCTATAACCTGTCGGACTCGGGTATTCTCAAATCAAGTCCACGACCTTGTCGGATTCGGGTATTCCAAATCTCGTAAGCGCAATGTGTAGTCCATTTCCTTATCGGACTCGGGCGTTTCTCACCTCCGTTAATCACACGGTGTAGTCCATAATCATGTCGGATTCGGGTATTCTTTTATTACTTTTTTGTTCCCAAGAAAAAAAAATGGCATCGAGTATTAAAATGTCTAAGATGTATATATTAACTCAAAAAAGAGATTTATTTTTATATTTTGATTATTCTTATATAGTGAAAGATTTAAATGTGTTTTGATTGTCCATAATATCAATTTGAAGTTAATCGAAGTTCAATTCCATGTGTATTTTAGAATAATATTAGAAAATATCATGTGAAGCATGTCAATGTGATATGAAATATTTCAGAGCATATCAATGTGATATGAAATATTTTAGAATATATAAATGATATATAAATATTTTTGAATATATTAGTGACAAATAAAATATTTCGAAACATATCAATAAACAAATAAGAAACATAATCTCAAATATTATATTTGACATTATATTTATTTTATTCTTATCTAAAATATATACATAAACTTATAAATATTACTTTAGATATTATATAAAAATATAAAGGATGAAATGAGATCATATGATTCATTCATTTCTGAATGACTATCAAATATAAATATCTTACGTTTGGGAGTTCCATCTGTTTAATCTCGGATTTTGATGATGAAA